GCAAAAGGAAGTACTAAATATTAGTTAAATTATAAATATATCAATTCATGTGAATATGGCTGAAAATTTTCATTTTTTCTAAAAAGGTGGTGTCTATTTACTTGTGACCACTCGGTGTATATACATCATACACACACACACACACAGCTGAAAAGAAAAAGAAAAAAATAAATAAATAAATAAATCAATCAGGAATTACTATATTGATACCATAGAATTCCACTACGATTTATCAAGCTTATTAACTAAGATGTATTTGGGTCTAATAAAAATATGAAATTTTGAGCAGACTAAAGATAACCTACCTTCTTGAAATCTTAGTTTGAAAGAAAAAAATGGCATCCTAACACATGAAAATGGCTGAGAAAGCCACCAGTGGGACATTCGGAACTTTTGAATAGTTATTCACATCATATATTGAAGTAAGTATATAATGGACCGTTTCCAAAAATGGAAAGAGGTGAGCAGGACTCCATCGTGTTTGATTTATTACATCAGTGATATATCACCAAAGAGAAAACTATAGACTTAGTATTTTACATCACAAACATCTAATTTGAACCAGTGCTGCATTCAACATACCACGTGACACACAAAAAAATCAACGTTTAACTGCATTTTTTTTAATACTTACTTTTAAATTAAGAAATTAAATACTGTATAATACTAAAATTTGAATTATAATCTACAGTTTGATACCAAAGTTATTGACATAAATTCCTGAAATAGTAGTTCAATAAAATTTTAAATACAAGTTGACAAATGCAATGACACATCTGAAGAGGATTAAATGACAACAACTTGTATCAAATTTTCTTTATAAATGTAAAGTCATTTCTAACATCTAAATCAGCATTTAAATAGTACTACATTAAAAATAAAATGCTATTTGCTATTTTCTGCTAATCAAGTATTTTATCTAACCAACAGTTTATTATTATTTTAATTGTTCTTGGACAAAGCAAAACAATTATTTCAAAAATGCTCTGTATAACTTATAAACCTAATTAAAAATTTCCATCACAGAGTATTTTCCTTACCATTGGCTCCACTTTTTCCTATGATATGTCTGTGATACTTAGGATCAACCTGAATCTCCTCATATGTAAATGTTAACTTTAGGTTCTCAATCATTTTCTCCAAAGCAATACGAACTTTATCAAGTTCATCTTGTGGTCCTTCCAACTTGATTTTACCTGCATCATTATTAAACTCCACATGAACCTAGAGTGATGATTATAAAATAGTTTTGATATATCATAAATGTAAGCATGCAGTCATGATCATTTCATAAAATATCCTAGTTTACAGTATTTATATGTTTAGCAAGTACTTAAGATTCTAAAAAAAAACAATGCATATTTTACAATCAAGAAAACCAATATATATGGTTACCAGTAAAACTGAACATTACTGTATTTAACTTTTCTAGATAAAAAGTATGTAACTGTCTTAAACATTCATATTCAAATTGTATTAACCCTATCGGCTTGGGTGCACTTTACTGTGCATGACACAAAGTTTTAGTGTCTAACATTTAAAATTTTTATTAAACTACTTTTGTGTAGGTTATACCAATTAAAATAGCATGCAATCTTAGCTAAGAATCCATATTTTAATAGGATACAAGTTTTAAATTCTTAATTCTACAAGGAAATATATAGAAAAAAAATCCTGAAATTCCACTAGTGCAACACACACATGACACATTTTGTATTAGCATGTCATCATCCCTATTTTATCCATCACCCCTTCAAAATGTATGAAATTAAATGTAAAATACACTCTATAAAACATTTATTGCTGAAATAGACCATAATTTTTATAAACTTCAATTTTGTTTGGTTACAGAACTATTCAATAGAAAATCAGACCCCTCCTGCCAGACCCACTTGTCACATCCTCTCTTTCACAATTCGTTGATAATTCTCTTATATGTTTAATTATATATTACTTATAACTAATAGAAAGTCAAGACAGTAATCTATCAAATGACGTATTGTATAATGTTGTATCCTGAACAGAATATCGTTAATTTATCTCACAGTACAAGATTCAAAAGGGATCTTTTCCAGTTATTTAAGACTAGATTCATTAAAATAAGTAATAATAATATAATTAAAATGGTTTACGAGGCACACATGCAAGCAGCTCGTGGGCAATGTAATTCAATAGTGTAACGTGAGCTGCACGCTACCCAAGTGATTTACAACTTTTATGGTGGAAATAGCAGTTAGTTATGGTTAGAAGGGCAATAAAACATTAAAATTTAATTATAAATAGATGTATAATGTTACGAACTTAGGGCTACTTAGGATAAACAAATGTAGTTTCAGGTTACAATTTGAAGTCATTCTAGAAAGAAAAGAAGGTTAATTTAGGCTCATTGATTTTTTTTGGTGGTTATGAGGTTGGTCGAATTGACCGATACCGTTTTGAGATACGGTAGAGAAAATAACAAAAACCAAGAATTTAGTGAAAAAAAATGTTTGAAATGCATTTAGGAGATTTTTGAGATTACACAAAGGAAATTTGAGATTTTTTAGATGACAAAAAGTATTTTTAATTTTGATATGAAAATCACTTTGCACTCAGACTAGTTAAAAAAAAGAATAGATATTTTCACGGGGGAAATTTAAGTAAAAATACTTCATTAAAAAATCTGATTTTTCGTGTGCAAAAGGCTTCTAATGTTTACTACAAGTCTAAAAAATTTTGTAAAGATACACTTAAATTATCAGTAAGTAAACTATAACGAGGTTGGTTCAAAGGACCGAACCAGTGTTGAAAGAGTTAATATGGTCTTGAGAAACTAGTTTTATTTACTGCAATAACTGTAAAAAAAAAAATCTTCATTTTATTGTAACAGACTCCATTTAATTACTACAAAAATAATCAACAGACAGCAAAATATCAAGTTAAATAGTAGTTTTACATTCAACAATTTAGCTTCTTGTTCAACTTTGGTCTTTGATTGTTAATCTGCAACATTCCAAATGTGTAAACTCCTTTCATAGTGTTCTCTAATGAGAATTTGTGGATAACATCTATGATAGAGCTTACACAGCTTATTTATATTTATTGTGTATATGACAAAACTTAACTACAGATCATTAAAATTTTTATTATCTTAAGATTTTTAACCCTAACCAAGAAATTGTATATGATGCTATCTTTCATATTATCTGGAAGTAAGAGGATCACAGTGCTATCATTTGCAACTCATTTCTTTGCCATTACAAAAACCATTGGGTATAGAACTGTTTGTCAAGTTTCAAGCCTGTATACTGTTTACTGAATATATGTTGATACATTTGTCATCTTTAGCGATTCTTAAAATACAAGTTAGTTTTTACAATATCTTAATAGTCAGCAAAATAATGTTTAACTGTGGAACATCAGGAAGAACAACTTACATTCTTGGTACACTAGTACATAATAACAACAGGCTTGAATGTTACTTGTATCATAAGAAAACATTTACAGGTTTATATTTTAACAGTTGAATTACAGATTTGTCTGAAATAAGTTTTGTTAAAATAAAAATTAACTGGACTTACACGTACAACATAGATATTTTTATAAAGAAAAACAAGTCAAGTAAAAATGCTCTTCCTAATAATACGAGACATAACATCACACAATTACTTGAACATGATTAAAAATCTTAAGTTAAACTTAATGCTCCAGAGAAATTGTAGTTTAACACATTACTCTCTACAGTTAAAAATGTTAGAGATAAAAATTGTGTAAGCTCTTTTAAAGAACTAATCTACAAATTGATTTAACAGTAGTTTTCAAGCCCAAGAATAGAATTCAATATTTATTTCAGATATAAAGACAGAATTTCATACCTAAAAACATGTGAAGTGATAAGAATAAATGTCCTAGATGTAATTCTTGGTAAATAAGTTCACCCACAAGCTTGTTGGAAACTCATAAAACAACAAGCAACGTTAATGGGGAACTAAAAAATCAAGTATGAGAGATCACATGTTTGGAGAAGGTAATGAAGCCATATATCAAAGTACTTTTAAAATTCTGGCTAGAGGGTATGATAAGATGCATGTAAAAGAAGCATTATTAATTACCAAATTAACATTAGAGATGAATGAGTTCAGCAGGCAAGTTTTTTGGTAAGAATATAATATGAGCAATGTTCAATTTTAATAAGTAAAGATTTTTTAAATTGTTACTTATCAGTTAATAAAGTTTCCAATAAAAGACACTGGTTTTTCTCACCTTGGTCATGTCTTGTGTTATATTTTTGATGTTGACTCCCTTCCTCCCTATGATGTACTTATGAAGCCAACTAGGTGCATCCACTTCAGCCATCACTACACTATTAGCCTATTGAATATATAGAAAAACATCTGTAATCTATATACAACTAAAACTCCGAGATTGTTTGTTTGCTTGTCTGTAATTAACCACAGCAAAAACGGCACACAAAGGGCCATATTTGTAATGAAATGAAAACAAACAGAATATAACAAGTTTTGTTAAAATCGGGCCACAGGTTACAAAGTTAGCCCCATTTTTCGGGTCACTTTTAAAGAAAATTTATAGATGAATGTAGGTACACTAGATGGCGCCACATATCGGTTTATCTATATCTATTCGTTTTCCACCTGATGAATCACTTTAAAATATCTTTTATATAACAATATATGCACAACAGAAATTAAATGATGAGATGAAAATGGGTTATAATGGCAGGTAGAAAGAACAATAAAATGGACCTACAATATTATTGACTATTTGCAAATAGTAACTATGGAGATGAGGTAATAAAATAAAAATACAAGTCGAGAACAACAACAAAATTTTATAAATGAAAACTTCTTGCCAAGCATTGGCTATTATACTATTTCCC